TTTGAGGGCTGCCATTTTAAATAGGGTGGTCCAGGCAGGCTTCATTGAGGAGGTTACTTCTGAGCAAAGACTTGAAGGGGGCGAGAGAGTGACTGTGGATTTTCAGCGGAAGATTGTTTCAGGTGGAGGGAACAGTTGACACAAAGGCCCTAATGTGGGAACACGCATGGGGTGTTTAAGGAAGAGCAAAAAGGCCATTGGGCTGGAGTGGAGTTTGCAGCTGGCAATGACGTCATAGAGGTAACAGAGGGCCATGAGGGCTTTTGTAAGACTTCGGCTTTTTCTCAGAGTGAGAGAAGGAGTGATGATCTGATGTCACATCAGGATCTGGTGAATAGACTGTTAGGAGGTGAAGGCAGAAGCACTTAGTAGCCTATTAACACAATTCAGGCAAGAGGTGATGCGACATAGTCTATTAGTCTTTATGTATTTCTGAGACTGGCGGTATTTTACGGAGAATAAACGTGATTTGACCACTCTGAATTTTTTCTTTCTTGGACCTACATTTCAAGTAAGCAAATATATTAATAAGTGCTCTCAGTCCTAGAATGTGTTGGCAATTGTATTTTAAGTCTAAATACCCAATGTCTTTAAATTTCAATAGAATTGTAATTTTTCCTTTACTACTTTAAAAACCCTCTTACAATGTTATGGGCTATCTACCCAATGGAACTAGGCAATTACTATAATTAGTGGTTGTGAAGACTATGTGGTAATGAGAAAAACCCTTAAGATGGAACCTTCAGTGAAAAAAAGCAAGAAGCAAAGTTGTGTATTTGTATAGTATGACTATTAAAAAAAGGAGATCCATGACCTGCTAATTGCTCCAGCCCCTGCTTGCTCTTGGACCTCATCTCCTGTAACTCTCCCCCTCACTGGATTTTCTATAACCATCTCAACCTTCTCACTGATGTTTAGGCCTCCCAGGCATGCTGTTGCTTCAGTCTTTGCACGGGCTGTTCCCTGTGCCGGCGATGCCCTTGCAGCCCGTAGGGCTGATCCCCTCACCTCCGCCGGGAGTTCTTCCCTGGCCTTGACAGTGAAATAGCAACCCTTCCACTTGGCACTTCTTATCCTCTTACTTTGGTTTGTTCTTTCTACTGTATTTGTCACCACCCAACAGGCACTTCATTTTATTTGTGTCTTTGTTTATTGTCTCTCTCCCCCTAACTGGGGGAATAAACTCCACAAGGTCAGGGGTTTGCTCTGCTTTCTTTGAGTTTTGTTTTTGAACAGTACCTGGCACATAATAGAACACACAGGAAATCTTGTCGAATGAAAGACTGTTTACAAAGGCCTGAATTTTTTTATGGCTAACCTAATTATTGATGATAGTTCACATTAGAGGCCTCACTGGAGAGTGAAGGGATCCTGTGGAAGGCTATGAAGGAGGGAGCTAAGGGACCATTTAAATCACATACATTGGAGGAGTTGAGATGAGGAGGTGGCCTCTGTGTCTTGGTGCGTGAGAACCACTTGGCAGACCAGTGAGCCTTGGGTAAGCAGCAACCTAAGTGCTGAGGGGTCAGTAGAGGCAAGGGAACAATTCCCCTATTGCAAATGTGGACTCTGGAAAATGGAGTCAGCAAGAAATGCCACTGTCAAGGCAACTTCTAATCCTAGAGGGAGGTGCTGGGACAGATGGTATGAGAAGAGAAGATCAGGAGCTTCTGACCCATCCTAGGGACGAAAGCACCCCCAAATGGCTTCCTAGGTCTGAATACACTAGGCAAGATCTGGACTGGAGAATGAGAGGGCAGCCAGAGAGCAGATTCTAGTAGCAGGCAAGGGAATAATCAGTGCAGGCTCTCTATCTTAATGTTGAGTTTGCAAATTCTAACAGCACATAGCTTGCAGAACTCTGACTTAAGAATTTTAGGCAGAACTTATATTCACCTGTTATACATAGTACAACAGTACTCTACAGTGCAAAATATCAAAATATTCCTGTATAGGTTGGTAAATAGCTGCTGCCCAAGCCCGTCCCTCAGCATCCCACCCCAATCTCGCCAGGATCCAGAGTTCAAGATGCGAAGATTGGGGCCTCTGGGATTCTGCTCTGGCGCTACAGGTAGTATGTGTTTTGATTGGCTGGGACTGGTTACATAGCTTGCTAAATATGTATTATCATGCCTGGCTTGAGAAGGTTTACCCCAAAGTCATGAAAATTCTTGAGTAGTTAGCAAGAGCAGTTTAATGCTCCTGAAATAGGGTCCAAGGTAGAGGGAGTTCCAAGAACGTGGAGTCATGTTCAAAGACCTAACTTCATTGACCTCTTGTCAGTCAGAACTTTATTGATTACATTTATCCAGGGTCTGTTCACAAGGGTGTCTGTAAGGGTGTCATCCAGTGGGTCTAACGTGGTCTGGATTGCAGATCCCTTTGAGAATCCAGTGGAGTTCAGTCTTAGATCCTTCAAGTTTGTACAGTTGTTGGAACTAGCGTCAAAATTTGCCCTCAAACTTTGTAAAGTGGAGACTCTGGAGCATTTTGCAGTGGGATTGAAAAACATGCTGTGTAATTCATATTTTGATTCTCTTAAAACATCTAGACATAACTTTCATAGCTCTGGCTCAGCACAATAGTCATCCTCAGTCTATTCTAAACAAATTGTAGCACATTCCAAATGAATGAGATCCAAAAGAATGAGATCAGTGCAAAGTCATAGAATAGATTGTGTCCAGAAAAATCAAGATGGGGAAGGAATGTGGAGATATTTGGACCTTTTAGAGTTGGATAAGGGTCACAAGAAAAGCTTCTAGAGAAAATCACAGGGATAAAGAGACTCTGCAGCTAAAACATAAGGTGTCCCAGGCCTAAAAGAGGGAGAAGCTTATGTCCCCTTCTTCCATGCACGAAGCCCAGTCTCCTTCCTCACCCACCTCAGCACAGGTGTGGGGCTTAAGGACTTTGCATGTCAAGAAATCATAGACACTGAGATGTGGTTATAGACATTTTCTTATTCTATACTTAAAACAGCCAAAATATAGACATTTATGGTGGAGAAACTGGCCTAAATATTTAACCCCACAGCTATTCTAACACAGAGTACGGGGAAGCCAGTGAAATCTCAGCTGCTTGTCTTACCCCTGAGAATGTGAAGAGCTAGAATTCTGCAAGGTGGGATACCCGTCTCTCCTCCTGACCTTTGAAACCAGTGCGCCCGGGTTATAAGTACTGCCACTTACTCTGCTGTCCTGTGGTAGTTATACGCACATGCCTGCCATTCAGAGTCTTGGAGTGTGCGTTGACATCAGTGTGTGTGTGAAGATAACCGGGTGCTTGTTTTGATGCAGGACGCGATACAAGGGCCCTGTTGCTATGCTGTCAGAAACCTCATGTTAAAGCCTACCACTCCCAGGGTGGGCTGAGGCCGTTGGGTTCACTCACTTGTGGACCTGTTCAGGCTATAATCTATTTTCAGTCTACAACTGTCTTTATAATACAGGAGCAGAAGGTTTAACCAAAATAATGCCTTGAATCAAAATCAACAACTACTAAACAAACGGACAATTTTGAAGAAAAATTTGTCCTTAAAATACAGTTCTTTCTATGGTAGTTCAAAAAATTGCTGTAAAATTTTGCATTTTAGGAGAGGAAAGAATCAGAAAATAGCTATAAACCTTAGGGAGCCTAGAGGAAAAAGGAAAGGGGTGAGACTGTAACTAACCTATTGGGGTAGATGTAGGAAAATTTAACTCAGAAATTGAGAGTATTCCAGAGAACCAAATATCTAGACACAGCCTTCTGAACACTGTGCCAGAGCACCTGAGTAACTGCGAAGGGAGTGCGCTGAGCAAGTCAGGGAGACACCGTTCCACAGTCCCAGCGGGAAAAGGACCCCAGGAGTCGTCCACAGGACCAGCCTGACCTCACTACGCTGCTGCCGCCACTAATTGGGGTTGGAGAGTGAGATGAACTCGACTTGTCTTTCCTAAATCAGACGTGCAATCAATGACACCGTTGTTTTTCAAGGCATTTGGCATTTTTCATTGCCTAATAGTGTTGTTTGCCAAGCTCTTGCTGGAGCCACTTGATGATCAATTTGATTTAGCCATAAAGATAGATTTGGCAGAGATTTTGGCCGTCTTAATAATTCATTGCATGGGTGAAGGATCTGAGCTTCACATCCATCTGTATATTGTTGCCTTCCCCCTGACTGTGGACCCCCCAGGTTTGGTCAGCCTTTCAGCATCACTGTCCCAGCCGCAGTCTAGGGGAACACTGGTTAAAAAGTCTGATTGTTTTCTTTTTCGTAAGAGTCAGACTGCCTGGGTTCAAATCCTGGCTCTATCACTTTGTAGCTTTGTGACCTCTCACAAGTTATTGAACCTTAGTTACCCATATACACGGTGGGGATAATAATCAGGTTATTACAGGGAGCACTTTTGGTGATATATGTAAAGCACGCACATATGTGTGTGTGTGTGTAGGAAAGCACCTCATAAATTTTAGTTTAAGAACTCTCCATATTTTTCAAAAGCCAGTTTAGCCAGATCAAATCTGTCCAGAAAAGGCTATTGACCATATAGTTTATACTTTCTTCTTTCTGAAAATGTAAGCTTCTAAAAATTTATATAAATTCATTTGTATGTATTCACTTAACTTGGAGATGTTGGATATTTGGTCTTTCTTCATAAATGTTCACGTGAGGATGGATGCTTCATCACTCATACGTTTCACCGTTGATGCGTATTGTGTTGATTCTTAATATTTATTATACGCATGTGTGAAACTGAACTGCGTAAAAGCAGAATTTAGGCATTCCTGCCAAAAGGAAGTGAATTGAAAGGAAGAGAAGCAGAGCCTTTGCAAGGAGAAAATTATCCTATCTCTCAGCCAGTGTCAGAATGTGGAAATGTTTACAAAATGCTCATTAAAAGAAAAAGGGATAGCAAGATAGAAACAAAATCTGGTGCACAAGTTTACACTAGAGAGATAAGAAAAGCTAGGCCCCTATAGGGGATTTTGTTATCCAATTACTGCAACCTGACTTTTGGGGGGAGAGGAAGAATGGTAGGGGGAGGGAGAGAGAGGGGAAGAGTTTCCAAACTTGTCTCCAGTGACACGAGACATTTACGCTCCGCAAGATAAAACTGCCACTTAGAGCCCAGGAGAGTTAAACCTTCCTGGGCTGGCCTGGGGGCTCGAGCAGAGTCATGGGCTCCCTGGCCTTAGAGCTGTGTGCTCTCTTCTGCCTAGTGGCTCACTTGGCTTCTGGAAGCCCCATCATGAGCCTGGAGCGGTCGCCTCTGGAAGAAGATATGCCCCTCTTCGATGATGTCTTCTCAGAGCAAGATGGTGTTGACTTCAACACCCTGCTGCAGAGCATGAAAAATGAATTTCTCAAGACATTGAACCTGTCTGACATCCCTATGCAGGATTCACCCAAGGTTGACCCGCCAGAGTACATGTTGGAACTCTATAACAAATTTGCAACCGATCGGACCTCCATGCCATCTGCCAACATCATTAGGAGTTTCAAGAATGAAGGTAAATTTACATTTTACTGATGAAATTTGGCTTGGGTTTTTTTCAATAAATGACAAGTAAATTTACAATTCATGGAAATAATATAGATAAAGGTGAATACATCTATATAAGGGTGTGTGTACACAGAAACACAAAACAATGCACATTTTGGTCAATACCATTTTTACGGTCATTTCCCAAATGGTGTTAAAGGTGTTAAAGAATATCTTTTAAACCAAAGCCATAAAGTTTCTACCATTTTGACATCACAATCTGGGCTTTAAGAATTTTTAATTTAGACAGCAAATAATAAAAATAATTAATATTGGTCTACTACTGTACCTTTATCTGTCATTTTCCAGATGGGCCTCAGTTTCCATTTGGCTTTCAATTGACTATAAAATATGTCAATTTCTACTTAGAATGAAAATAGGCAAAAAAACAGAAAGTGATGGGTGTTTTCCTCAAACTTTGGATGAGTTTTCATTTTGTGACCTTACTTAAGAAATGTTCAAATAGGATGGAAACTTATATTTTAGAGATTCTTTTTAAAGTCTTGTTGTGTTTGATGTGACATGTATATCCCCGAAGCACTGTTTAGAGTTTTCAGGAAGTGTACACAGCCCAGTTAGTGATCCAGCTTATTTCTGTGTCTTTATGAAGAGCAATGCACAAGCTTTAATTATCAGTGGGAGAAGTGTGTTTTCTCCCCCCAGATCTCTATTCAGTAACTAAATCTAATGACCTAACAAGTTAACCCTTTGTTTAATATGGTACTAGTGGGCAAAAAAGTTTTTTTTCTACTATCTATGTTAAAAGCTGTGAGTCCAAAGAAACTAACTTTTTAATATTTACCAATTATGCTTTTATAGTCATTAACCAGGTAAAAAGGGGGTTTAGATTGATGTTGGCAAATGTTCTTGAAAGCAGAAAGGTGGTGGCAAAGAAATAGCTTGGGATTTGGAATTTTGAAACAGGAGTGACTTAGTAGTTGTGGATAATTAGCTTAATTTCCCTGAACCTCTATTTCCTCATCAGTAAATTGGGAATAATATACCTACATAACCCAAAAGAGCGATTTCAAAGAGGTTACAAGTAAGAATGCAATGCATTTGTTATGAAGTGCTGAACAAAGGCTAGTTATTACTAATGAATTCCTTGAACTCTAGGCATTGCAGGAAATGTTAAGTAGGTATTGCTCAGTCCTGGAGATACCATTTGCTTTTAAAATTTAGGCGACCGTGAAAATTTCAAATATTTATTAACATATTGGAAATGTTATTTAGTAACATTTAGTAACATAATGGAAATGGAAAGCTGAAATTACAGATTCCATTTGGAGGTGAGTCAGAATTGAAAATAAACAGCCTCCTTTCATGGGAACTCTTCCTTATGTTTCTGAAAACTGAACCTGAGGTGCCTGGCTCAGGGTGTGGGTGGGAAAATAGAAGTTTTTCAGTTCTCACTTCTCCTGTGGAGGATTTGGATGATCCAGGTCAGGAAGTGGAGTTTAAAAGCTTCTTGTTACTGGAGACTAGCAAGGGTAGGAGCAAATCTCTCAGTGGACAACACAGCTGTCCCCCCCCGCCAGTCTGCGGGTGGAAATGCATAGCCCCAAAGACATGACTCCTGCATTGGGCTCACCCTGTTGGCTGTTACTGTCTCTCTTTTGACTCTCTGGGTGTGCTCAGTGCAGCTCCCTAGGAGACAAAGATGGAAAAAAAAAAAAAAACCTCCTCCAAATCTAACTAATCAGGGGAAAACAAGTACCACCTTCAAGATGGAAAAATCATGACTTCAATTCCTACCACTGCTCTGATCTCACCTTGTCATCTTGGGGAAGTCAGTTCTCTGCATTGAGGCTCGATTTCTTCTGGTGTAAAATGAACAGAACAGCAGTACCTGCATTATAGAGTCATTGTACGAACTAACCAAAACAATGTTTGCAAAGCACGTGGCACATGAAATTTGCTCAACAAACATTAGTTCCCTTGCCTGAAAGGCAACACCTCCAACTATTACTTACTATATTTGCACATACACAGTGAAATTATTTTTTAACAGCTTTATTAAAGTATAATTGACATATAATAAACTGCACATATTTGATGTATAATTTGATAGATTTTGACATATATAAACATCCACTGAAACAATCACCACAATCAAGATAGTAAACATATTCATCAGACCAAAAGTTTCCTTGTGCTCCTTTGTAATCCCTTCCTCCCACTACAATGAGCTTTTATTCTGCACCTTTCTCACAGATGGAGCAACCAGTCTATTCCCCTATTTTTGATCTTCTCATGTTCCCTGTCCAGGGGAGTCAAATCTCTTTCATTCTTATAATGGAGGACAACTCCTAAGTTACTTGATGTATTAAGGACACATGTCATGCCCATAAATCAATTTGGTCTGATGCCCAGAATCATCAACTTATCAGTATCTTGAAAGTGCTACCACTGTTTAAGGCATCTTGGTATATTGGAGGCATGAAAGGGAGTTTAAGCTGTGGTATCCGCGAGCATGATGACAATCTAGTTGGGAAGATCCATTCATAAAAAGACAACTGAAATATAAGGATGTAAATGGCAAAGGTCAAAGGAGAGACACAGAGAATAAGTACTCAAGTGACCCAGAAAGAAGTGAACTTCTAGAGAGGGCAGTAAGAAAGTGAGGGTCACAGCTACAGAGGTGGAGGTGAGGGGAGAGGGCTTTCCAAGGGTCAGAAGAACATATTCAAAGGTGCAGTACATAGTAAAGCAAAGGAGTGTTTTGGCAAGTGGTGAAGAGATCAGTCTACTTTAAATAGGAGGGTTTACAATGTATTTAATCTTTCAACAAATATCAATAGATCAATTGCAATGTTCCATGCACTATAGCGGATGAATGGGAGCTATGACTGGATCAAGAGGTTAAGAGCTGGTTATAGCTAGTTTTGAGAGCCATGCTAGAGAGTTTAAACTCATTTCATTGACTAGTATTTCCCACTGGCAGTGTATGAGGTGACTTGAGGTGGTACCCAGAGTAAGCTGTGAATCATGTGAAATCAACATGTATTTTTTTTTTTTTTTTTTGTTGAGGGAGATCAGCTCTGAGCTAACATCCGTGCTAATCCTCCTCTTTTTG